GACTTACAACTGAGGTACATGCCCTTGACTGGAATCGAACCTGGGACCCTTCAGTCCACGGGCTAATGCTCTATTCACTGAGCAAAACAGGCTGCAGTTTAATTCATTTACTTTTAATCTATATGTGTCTTTATATTTAAAATGGGGTTTGTTTTTGATTCACCCTGCTGCCTGATGGGGGCTTCTGGGTATCTCTGGGTACTCAGCCTTTCCTGGAGGACCCTGGCGGGGGAGGGGCACCACACTGTACCCTGCCCACCCCTGCCAGCCCTTCCACACTAGGCTCCTCTCCTCTCTCAGGTGCTCCTGGCCTCACCGTGACCTTTCTGCCAGAGCTCCCAGCCAGGCCTCCTCTTGCTGAGGCGGGCTCCCTGCTAAGGGCCCTTCTTGCCCGTGCTCCCCTTCCTCACCCACATGCAGAGCCGCCACAAACACCAAAGAAGTGACGGCTTTTCTCTGTCCCCTGCTGCTCTGAGGGGGGGAGGGGGAGTCTCCTGAGCCACTCAGATGGGAAAGTCCTAACTCAGCCCCTCCCTCCTCAGGAGCCCCAAGCTTTACCCTGGATGCAGCGGTCACCCCACCACTCACCAAGCCCCCCTACCCCTCTGCCTCCTTGGAGCTCAGCTCAAGAGCTGCTCCTAGTAGCTGGTTCATCCGTCCTCCCGCTCCCTCCTCCCTCCCCTCGGTGCTTACTTGGCTCCAGCCCTCCAGCTGCAGCCTCTGGGGAGAAGCAGCCCCCCTTCTTGTTCTCCCTCCCTCCACCCCTGTCTCTGCCAGGTGCCTCCTCTCAGTCAGGCCTCAGAGCAGCCCTGGAGACAGGAGGGCCATGTTAAAAGCTTGTTCACAGTTTTAAGAAGACAGGGGGGTGAGGATAGTGGTGGGGCATCTGGCACTATCTCCTCATTGCTTTAATCCCAGCAACACAGGTGGCAGCTTCTCTCCCACCCTCCCCAGTCCCTCTTTCCACCCCTCTCTTCTCCTTGGTAATGAAGTCTATTTATTGGCAAAGGAAACAGCTGCTGCTCCTTCTGCTGCTGGGACTTGCTCCCCCGTCTCTTCTTCAGGACCTTTCTCCAGCCAGCATGCCCGCCTGCTGGGGGCTTCTACTGTGGGCGTGCCTTCCCCGGCTGCCAGCCTGCCCTGGATGGCGGCGTGCTGGCGGTTGGCACTGTCCCACCCTGCCTGCAGTATGCAAATTAGCGGCCATCTTTGTTGGCGGTTTATTTGCATATCACCCTGATTAGCCGATGGGGAGCGTAGCAAAGGTACGGTCAATTACCCTTTTTGTCTTTTATTCGATAGGCTATATATACTGTATATGAGGCCTCTAGAATGGTAAGAAATGCAAAAAAATTAACTGTTAATAACTCATTCTTGAATTGCCCCCCTTAAAAATCACACTGCCCCCCTGTGTGCATGTGGATGCAAGCAAGCCTCATGTTCAGTTTAAGCTGCCTGGTTGCCGGCCGCCATCTTGGCTGGTAGTTTATTTGCATATCACCCTGATTAGCCGATGGGAAGCGTAGCAAAGGTACGGTCAATTACCCTTTTTGTCTTTTATTTGATAGGCTATACTGTATATGAGGCCTCTAGAACCGTAAGAAATGCAAAAAAATTAACTGTTAATAACTCATTCTTGAATTGCCCCCCTTAAAAATCACACTGCCCCCCTGTGTGCATGTGCCCCACACTGGGAACCACTGATCTAAATGGACATTTCTCCAAAGAAGACGTATGAATGGCTACTAAGAACAAGCAGAGATGCTCAGCATCACTAGTCATCAGGGAAATGCGAATCAAAGCCACAGTGAGGTGCCACTTCGCACTCACGAGGACGGCTACAATGGAAAGGCAACATGAACAAGAGATGGGGAGGCTGCGAGGCGGCCCCCCAGCTTCTCCATCTCAGCCGTCAAGCAGGGCACCCCGCCCCACAGAGGGCTCTGCACCGGGCTCTGATTCTCAGGACATTCTCAGGCCTCGCCTCTTGCGGACGCCTGCCCTCCGGCTCCCCCGCCTCCGCTCATTTCTCCCCCACGCTCTGGATCCTTCGCAGCCCAAGCTCCTCGGGGGTGACCCTCTCTAAACTTGAGCTTGGGAGCTTCCGTTTAAACTCCCAAGCGAGGAAAGCAGAATTATGGATGTTCCCAGCTCTAAGCCTCGAGTCTCTCTCAGGACGCCTCTCGTTGCCAAGGAAAATGAAACAGATGTCTTGGCAGTAGCTTCAGTGCTTCCTGCCAGACCAGGGAGAGCTGGTCTCCAGCGCAGATGCGGCCAAGAAAGACAAGCCCCAGCTCATGTCATTCCCGGGAAACACGCACACACACACACACACACACACACACACGGGCTCCTCAAACCTGGGAGGCCACCCTCCCGGCAGCCTCTCACCTGGATTTCAACATCAGCTGTAGAAATGGACTGTCCCCCCTCCCTTCACTCACCTCAGGCCTTCCATCCCCCCCACCCCCATTTCCCACCTCCCCCTGCTCCTCATCATCTAGTGACTCTGGGACCCCTTGGCCTGGCAGGGAAGGCCACCTTCCTGGCTGGGCTTGTCCCCATCATGCCCTCTGAACCCTGAGGAGCGCCCTATCCCCGGGTTTGTGGCGGCATTCCCTGTGTCTCAGTCATGTGGTCCCCCCTAGGCAGGCGGCATCTCTCCCCGCTGGCCCTCTCCCTCAGTCCTGAGCATAAGGGGCCGGGACAAACCTCAGACATGCTGAGCTCTTGAAAAGCAACTGGTTTTCAGGAGCCTGCGAGGTCAGGCTCGCAGAGAAGAGCTGTCTGAGCTGCGTGGCCATGAGAAAATCAAATCGCGGTTCTTGCTGGCCTGACTGGCAGGAGCCCAGAGAGACCGACGGCCACCCAAGAGACACAGGTGTTGCAGGGCCCCTGTTCCCTGGTAGGTGAGCCTGCTGGCTGGGCATGGAGACCCCTATCAGCAGGCAGGATCTTTTTGCCTCCTTCCCTCTTGGCAGGAGAGGGATCCTGTGAGTGCCCACCTTGATGCCCATGCCTGGGAGGCCAGGCACGTCTCTGAGGACAGTGACTTGAGCCACAAAAACGTGGGCTTGGAGCAGAAATCCAGCGACAGGAGCCAGACAAGCCCAGGACGGCAAGCTAATGCGAGGTCGCATCCTCCTGGGAACCCGCGGCACCTCTCTGAGACCAAGCGAGAGACCAGCGGGGACCTGCACCCAAGACCGACACCAGCTGACCGCCGGGAGAATGGCCAACCTTCACCACAGAGGGAGACCTACAGTCTCCCCCAGAACTCCAAGAAACGTAACCATTTAACAGGTTATGTTTAACAGATGTCCTATCACCTTAATGTGTATGTAAAAACATCAGTTAAGCATTTGTAATCTCTGTGGAGAAAGAATTTTAAATGACAGGGAGTAGAAGTCACAGGTTCCCATCCTCAGACCCTACGACTGGACATAAATGACAAAGGACAACAAGAATAACAGTGACGAAACCTGGGTAACAGAAGCACAAACATACCAACACTCCAAGGATGCAAAACAGTTGTAAACAGGAAGTCAACGCAACAAATTCAGACTTCGTCAAGATGAAGGAAAATGAGGTCACTGAGTGATAAAATCGACGGGAGGCAGCCAAAACGGCGAGAGGAAATTCTGGAGCCTTTTGCTTTGATTAAAATCAACCACAGAGGGAAAAACAACTAAATAATTGGAGTCATTCGAAAGGAAAAAGACAAAACACCTTAAAAAAGGAGAAATGGATACGAAAATAAAAATAGAAATGAATTCATTGGATTGGGGCGGGGGGAGTGAAATAGAGCTCTAAAACCAAAAACGGGGTCTCTGAAAAGATGAATACATTTCTGACAAATATAACCAATAAAAACCAGACAAAACCCCTGAGAAAGGAAGGTGAGACTATAATCACAACTACAACGATGATTTATAAAATGGTAAGAGAATATGGATATAATGCCCAGGGTGTAGATAAGAGGAAATGGGGCACCTTGTGTAAATCTCCTAGCATGCAGTCCTGTAGAGCGTGTCCACTCGCATGTGGCCAAGGGACAAAGCTAAACCTGCCCCCTCTCTGTCCAAAGCCTGCGGCAGGATGAGACTGTCCTGTGACACGGGGGCCCCCACCAGGACCCTGCCCTGCCCTCCAGCGGGGCCTGGGGTCTGGCTCTGGCCCTTGAAAACAGCACGTCCTGGAGCCCAGCCAGCTAAGTTCTGTGCACTTTCCAACGCACAGGGAGGGCTTGTGGGAACCTCCAGGGGTCCCAGGGGACCACGACGCACCTTCCGGGATGCTGTTTCTTAAGGGCCATGGTAGCCCAAGCCCCTGGAGCCCGAGGAGGGCTTGGGGCCCACCTGGGTGGATTTTCCTGCCCCCGAGTCCCCTCCTCGTCCTCAGGAGCCAAAACCACAGTTGGAGCTCAGCTGCAAACCCAGAGCCCCATGGACCTGGCACGGCCTCCCTGGTTCCCGGGAGCGCGGCTCACCTCGGGGTCCTGGGCATAAAGCAGCAGCTCAGAATCTGGGCTCTGGCGGGAGTGTGGCGGCCAGACAGGTGTGTGCACAGCTGGACAGGCTGTCTGGTGTCCAAGGGCCGCCCAGACTAGTCCCTGCTCTGAGGCACTGGGAGGTGAGGTCTGGAGAAGGAAGGGTCGTCTTGCCCAACAGATCCTGGCTGAGCAGTTACTGCCCCGCGGACTCCCACTGGGCCCGGGCCCCCGGGGCTCAGTGTACACAGCGAGATGCTCCCTCTGCCTTCACTCCACGCACCTGGAGGCCTGGGTCCTGCACGGGCAGCTCCTCTTGTTGAGCTCACTGCCACAGAGACACCCCGCACTGCCCCCCATCGTCCCCGGCGCAGAAAAGAACACCCCGACAAGTGCTGGAAGGAGTCACGACAGGCTTTATTGTAGAACTAGCGTCACTGGCTCACCAGCAGGTCAACAGAGATGCCTGGCGAGCACCAGGGCTCCGAGGAGGCCGGGCCGCAGCTGAGGAACTCACACCTGAGTGGCAGGTTCT